GAGACCATTGCAGCTGACAAGACACATGGAACTACACTAGTGCCCTGAGCTGGAGAAGCCACATGGAGACCCCTACCAGTGCTGAAATGCTTACAACGCCACTGGATCCACAAGACTTCCCACCCAATGGCCTGTGATCTTTCTGCATTCGGCGTCATTGCATGTGTTGTATGAGTCTGAAGAGGAATTTATAGATTGGTATCGAACATATGGCTAATATCGGATTTATGGACTTGATCTGGACTGGGCTGGGATGTTTTCTTAATGTACAGTTGCTCTTGTATATAAAGCTCTTTCTTCTACACATATGAGTGTCTATGAAATAGTTTCTCTAGTTTACCCGGACTGACACAGTTTGGAAGCTCCCCCTGAAACCAGTTTGGCATCACAGCTGTGCAGAAGCCTCCACTGACAGACAGGTGGAGAAATGAGGTGCACTGGCCAGGAGTCGAAGCTAGCTCTCAGCATGGGAGACAGGAGCTCTACCAGCATTGCCCCCTCCCCTTACATCATTTTCCTCTGACGAAGGCTAGCCTTTGTGTTTTTGCAGAGAGAGTAAACTAGTTAAAAATGGAAAAAGTTCTTCTCTTAGCCAAACTGACCTTGGCAGTTGTTTAAATTCACGGTAAACATGTGGGGAGGGGATGTGTCAGGCAGTGTGAGCAAAGAACCCACAAAGAATGATTTGGCAGCCTCCCACCCCCACCCCCCAGGCAAGCGGTGGCAGCCAAGCTCTACCCTGTTGAGACACATCTGAGCTCCATGCTTCCTAGCTCAGCAACACCTAGTTGTCATCGGGCAGTTGGAGGCTCATGGTGGGTGGGGGCCCAGAGGAAGGGGATTCACACACTACAACTGCCTCTCTGGGACTTCTGTTTCACCAGCAGACTATGTGCAAGAACCCCATTTAACACTCACTCCCTGCGTCTCAAGGTGCTTCTGGTAGAGGCCACAGGGGAAGGGCTTGGCAGCCAAGGCCAGGCACCCAAGCCTTGGTGGACAGAGCCTCTGGGGACAGCCTACAGGCAGAGGAAAAGGGAGGACCGGACAGGGGATGGCAGAGATCGGCCAGCTGGCACTAACCAAAAAAAACCTTCAACAAAACCAGAGGCAATCCGGCAAGGCATAGCAAGCTCTCTTGAAACAATCCTCAAACCCACGGCCATCGAGTGGATCCCGGCTCACAGCGACCCTCTAGGACAGAGCAGAACTGCCCCTGTGGGTTTCTGAGGCTGCAACTCCTGACAGGAGTAGAAAGCCTCCTCTTTCTTCCTCAGAGCAGCTGCTGGCTTAGAACTGCCCACCTTGAAGGTATCAGGCCAACATGGAACCCACAACACCACCCCAAGTAGCTTTCTCTTAAGACTGATCCCTGTCTCCACCGCAGTCACGAGGCCAGCTCTGAAGGCCACTTTCTCTTGTTTGTTTTTCAGTTGCCCTTCTGTCAACTCTAACCCATGGTGAATCCCTGTGTGCAGACGCTCGGCCATGTTGGAAGCAGGTCTGTCTGCTGAGGCGCCTCTGGGTGGCCCCTCCCATTACAGCTAGTCGCGGAGGACTTAACCATCTGTGCCACCAGGGACTCCTCCTGTTTAGTCTGAATGAAAACTATGCAGGGCGGCGGAGGTACCTAGGGAAGCTCAAAAGAGGGGCCCCTCGCCCCTCGGAAATGTCCCCAGCCAGAAACCGACCGTCACTGTCATTAAGAAATGATACTAACGTTCCGTTTTGTCGTCTCGATCAGTGGGAGAACATAGTCATGCTGAAAATGCCCCTATAACGGGTGCCCCACGCCTGGGGCGGCACCAGGGCAGGGTCTCTGAGGA